ATATACTCAATCCTCCACTCTGACATGAAAAACAGAGTCAGAGCACAGAAAGATGAAGTCTTCATCTCCAAAAAGCACTGGGGAGGAAGTGGGAAGGAGCTTTACAGTGATGTTCAAAGCGTTCTGCAGCTATTAAACACATCGACAGCTCAAGATGCTAAACCCGCTGAGCTATTAAAATAGTCATGTGAAAAATGCCTGCCTCTCTCCAATCAGCTCACTGTAAAAAAGACTGACCTTTTTGGAAATTTCAAATGCATGGAGATGAAATTGAGAAGCTCAATGTGGCGGGGCTACAGTATGATAGGTACAGATCAGCATATAAACAAATCTAAGCTGAATTCATTCCTCACTACACTCCACTAAGACATTCAGCGTGAAGTATGTAAGAGAGTACAGCGGTACGGTCCAGCCGAGATTCATTAATCCTGCATATATAAATCAGAACAAGTCCACAAATGCATTCAGGCAAGGCAATCTGAATGCAGCAGAGAGACTGGACTCCTGTATCAGTAAAGTGTTATTGCGGAGTTGTGCTGAACACTCAAATCCAAAGGACGTATTATGCGATTATGTGACCACATCATGCCATGATACTGATTATGAGTACAGCGTCACATCATGAATAAAAAGAAATGAAACAGCATATAAATAACTCCATATTGAGGTCGGTAAGATTTTCTTAATATTTTTGAAATTTGTCTCTTCTGCTTACCAAGGCAGCATTTATTTAAATACAAAAAAATATATACAATAAAACTTGCAATATATTTTACTGCATTTATAATTTTTTTAAATAAATGTAAATAACTATATATTTTAAAATGTGATTTATTCCTGTGATTTAAAGCTGAATTTTCAGCATCATTACTCCAGTCTTCAGTGTCACATGATCCTTCAGAAATCATATGCTGATTTAATAACATTTTGTATTATCAATGTTAAAAACAGTTGTGCTGCTTAATATTTTTGAGGAAAATGAAATGAAAATGAAATGCTTTTTTTAGTCTTTGATGAATAGAAAATTCAAAAGAACAGTATTTATTTGACTTTTGTAAAATTAGAAATGTCACCTTTATTTGAAATTAATGTCATTGCTGAATAAACGTATTGATTTTTTTCAAATATAATTAATTTATAGTATATATATATATATATATATATATATATATATATATATATATATATATATATATATAAAATACAAGTACAGACAACAGTCACAAAGAAACATTTTGATGAAAGAAAGATTATGAAAATCAACATGCAATGCTTTTCAGGGGGAACCAGACTTTGGAAAAAAAAGAAAAAAAAGATAGAAGCCACGTGACTTTTTTTGAACTAACAAATACTATTATATGAATAAGTTAGTAAATAAACTGTTGCAAGTCTCACAAACCTAAAACATATACAGGAATGGTTCCAAGTTCATTTCAAACCAGACACAACTAAAAATTGACTTTTGGTTCACGGCTCTCAAATGACAGTCCGATTCATACTGACCTGCGAGAATCTTTTTGACAGATGCATTAAAAGAACTAGGCTCATGAGAGTAATTTTTTCATCAGTTGGCTCAGGTTGTCAGCTAACGGCAACCAACAAGATGATATCTGAGAAAAAACATATATCGACATGCATAAAACCTTCCAGACTGTCATCAAAGTTGGCTAGATGTTAAATTATTGCCATAAACATTTTGTTGCATTAGCAACCATTAAAGTCACCACCTGGAGCCCTGTCTTATTTTAATATAGTGCAGAGAATTCTGGAAGACTAAGAGGAAAGAGAAGAGAGTGGAAAATCTACAAAAGAAATAAAACGTGTAAAAAAGCCAAGCTTCCTGCACCAGTATAATCTGAGAGAGAACATATACTCAATCCTCCACTCTGACATGAAAAACAGAGTCAGAGCACAGAAAGATGAAGTCTTCATCTCCAAAAAGCACTGGGGAGGAAGTGGGAAGGAGCTTTACAGTGATGTTCAAAGCGTTCTGCAGCTATTAAACACATCGACAGCTCAAGATGCTAAACCCGCTGAGCTATTAAAATAGTCATGTGAAAAATGCCTGCCTCTCTCCAATCAGCTCACTGTAAAAAACACTGACCTTTTTGGAAATTTCAAATGCATGGAGATGAAATTGAGAAGCTCAATGTGGCGGGGCTACAGTATGATAGGTACAGATCAGCATATAAACAAATCTAAGCTGAATTCATTCCTCACTACACTCCACTAAGACATTCAGCGTGAAGTATGTAAGAGAGTACAGCGGTACGGTCCAGCCGAGATTCATTAATCCTGCATATATAAATCAGAACAAGTCCACAAATGCATTCAGGCAAGGCAATCTGAATGCAGCAGAGAGACTGGACTCCTGTATCAGTAAAGTGTTATTGCGGAGTTGTGCTGAACACTCAAATCCAAAGGACGTATTATGCGATTATGTGACCACATCATGCCATGATACTGATTATGAGTACAGCGTCACATCATGAATAAAAAGAAATGAAACAGCATATAAATAACTCCATATTGAGGTCGGTAAGATTTTCTTAATATTTTTGAAATTTGTCTCTTCTGCTTACCAAGGCAGCATTTATTTAAATACAAAAAAATATATACAACAAAACTTGCAATATATTTTACTGCATTTATAATTTTTTTAAATAAATGTAAATAACTATATATTTTAAAATGTGTAAATCAGAACAAGTCCACAAATGCATTCAGGCAAGGCAATCTGAATGCAGCAGAGAGACTGGACTCCTGTATCAGTAAAGTGTTATTGCGGAGTTGTGCTGAACACTCAAATCCAAAGGACGTATTATGCGATTATGTGACCACATCATGCCATGATACTGATTATGAGTACAGCGTCACATCATGAATAAAAAGAAATGAAACAGCATATAAATAACTCCATATTGAGGTCGGTAAGATTTTCTTAATATTTTTGAAATTTGTCTCTTCTGCTTACCAAGGCAGCATTTATTTAAATACAAAAAAATATATACAATAAAACTTGCAATATATTTTACTGCATTTATAATTTTTTTAAATAAATGTAAATAACTATATATTTTAAAATGTGATTTATTCCTGTGATGTAAAGCTGAATTTTCAGCATCATTACTCCAGTCTTCAGTGTCACATGATCCTTCAGAAATCATATGCTGATTTAATAACATTTTGTATTATCAATGTTAAAAACAGTTGTGCTGCTTAATATTTTTGAGGAAAATGAAATGAAAATGAAATGCTTTTTTTAGTCTTTGATGAATAGAAAATTCAAAAGAACAGTATTTATTTGACTTTTGTAAAATTAGAAATGTCACCTTTATTTGAAATTAATGTCATTGCTGAATAAACGTATTGATTTTTTTCAAATATAATTAATTAAATAAAAAATGAAGTATTTAGTATAAAGTGCGTACAAAATATGTATACTTTTTTCGGCGATCAAATTTGCTTATACAAACTGTACAATTGCATTGGTATCACTATCAACTACTGCAACAGTGCTAAATTGGGCTTCAGAGGAATTACAAATAGCCAACCACAAGTATTACTGGATTAGAGCCTCATATTGCATTTTCTATCTATGTAAGAACATTTAGAATGATGTTTTGAAGGCTCTGCAGAGATGGATGATGCATCGGGACAATGCACACACACACACACACACACACACACACACACACACACACACACACACACTCACCTACTGCTGACCAGCTTGGCTATAAAACCTTCATTACTCCTGCAATGAGGTGGCGCTCGGTGTGGAACATAGGATGACCAGGGACCCGTCTGTATCTCTGATTTACAACACACACATCGCCTCCCTCGGCCAGCTGAGGCTTTCAACCGCATCACCATCAATTCCCATTACCTCACATGGTAAAAACAACACAGCCCCTTATAAGGCATCAGGCTTCTTTCATAAAGCCTCATGGGCTTCTCAATCTGGTGAAGAACCTGTTTGTGGGCCATGTCCCAATATACGAATCCTCAAAAACATATGAATCAATAGCCAAAAAGAGAAGAGCTTCTTTAATGTAACCAATTGCAACTATATTTATACACTTTTTGAGAAAAGACTGTTATAAACTGCTTGAGAAAATAGTTCTGGGTTGCCCAAGTCTCGAAAGATCTCAATGCTAGTCTATGATATCCTACTCCCTAGAAAACTTTCGGCCTGTTGTATCTTCCACCAGGTGGAATTCTTCAAAAGAGTCACTTAGAAAAGTATTAGCTCAGCTTTACTCAAAAAAATAAATAAATAAATAAAAATGGAGGTATCATTCTTGATGATGAAATTTGGTGCCTTAGCACCAAAAATACATATTCTTTATTGAAATTGTCAAAACCTATTTTCCAGAGGCTAGTGTTTATATAAACTTCTGTTGTCTATAGTGTGCAGTTATCGGAAGTGATTGAACGCTAAATCAAACTTCCACGTAGCATCCAATCCCATAACAACGTCCTAATTAGGTTGTTAATGATTGATCATTCAGGGCCTGGATAAAGACCGGGACATCCGCCTTGATTAAGTGCCTATTTTTGCTATGGCAAATCATGTTAAGACCAAAGAACGCTCACTGTTCATCTGACCTCCCAGCTTAAGAAGAATGCTGACAGTTCTGCTGCTTCTACAGAAGTTCGCTTGGCTGCAGGTTCGCTCTGCTACGGCAGCACACTTGTAAACACTTAATGATTATTTATTCAAAGTACTAGAAAACTCTCTTTCTGAGTGTTTGCATGAAGGCAACATCTAAGTAACTGGCCAAGATCCATAAGCACCAGAATCAAAACTGGCATGCAAAACATACAAAAGCTCTTTGATGACAAGTAATGTGTGATCATTTTCTTAAATACAATCAGATTTGATAAAAAAGAAAAAGGCACAGAAAAATGTAGGTAGCACGGTACAGTAGGTACAGGTAGAGTAGCAAAGTGAAATGCTATTATTTGTAATAGACAACTAGGTAGGAGTTACTCACCATGAACCGCAGGTCGTCAAAGCCATTGAGAAGTAGCTTGCTCTCATACTGCGGAAGGCCTATATGCTCCAACCAATCCCCGACCGGCTGTTCAAGCAGCCTCCTGGATCCACCTGCGGACAAAGGAAGGCGCTTGAGCAGCGAGAAACCATTGAGACGGTAGCATCGGCAATCGGAGGAAGAGACGTGGCACTGCCACATCATCCTCGGCCAACAGTGCCGAGAGCACAAACACCAGGACGGCAGAGGCGACAGGATCCCGGCCGAGAGGTGTGGCCGCTCCCACAGCAGGGGCGAAACCACGCTTGCTAAGAATGAAGTTTGCTGTAGCTGAATTTGGGAAGAAGATGGGGCCCAACGCTGGGACTGATCACAGATTTAGACTCCACATTATGTCTTTGTTGAATCAATTTACATTTGAGAGGTTACTATGAAGTACAACTGGGTGCCAAGACCAGCAATTATCAAAGTTTCCATTTGAGCCCAGAAATCGCCCTATGAATCAAAGGTTTGATTTCACAACCCAAAAAGTCACAGAAGATGATGTGCACCATTGTAATCAATCCAGTTTCCTTATAATCCCAAACAGGCTAACTCCTAATTGACTGGGGTGTTTAATGAGGAAGAGCACAGTAGAGGATCAGATGATTGAAAGTTGGTATTCCCTCATGGGTGTCCATGTGGAGGTAGATGCACAAGTAAACTTCTCAAACAGTCATTACTCCCAAGCAAAGTCTACCGATCCCTTGAATTGATGCCGAAAACGTCACAATCTCCTGATCTCCTAAGAGTGACTAAAAATTGCTATGGGCTTCTACCGTAAGCCTGGAAACTCTTAACTTGCGTACTGCACTCCTCATGCAAATGAACTTCTAATCCAATCTCTACGACAGCGCTACTTAAAAGCCAGGCAAGATTGCATGACTTATACTGCACAAAGTCACTCATTCTCAGGATCAAAGGTACATGAGATGTAGGCAAAGAGCAAAAAAGCTTCTGAGTCTTTGCTTGAATAAAACTCTTGATATCAACTTTATTCCAAAACAAGAATGTCTGACTTTGATTAAATTTAGATGCAGAAGACGGCACAAAGCTAAGCCTCACCAATAAACGTCGGCGTAATCAAAACCGAATTAAAAAGCAAAAGCGAATGGAAAAACCAATGAGAAGTAGTATCCACCCGAGTCATTCAACTTAATCAGAGACACCCAACTGCAAAAGTACAAGGCTTGCTTTTCCAACACGACAAAGTCTCCCAGAGTCCTATAGAAGTCTGAACAGAGAAAGTGGGTGCTCGTCCCACATCAGTCAATCCTCAGAGTACGTTGCAGAAATCTCGTTATCCCTCTAGTTCCTCGAGACGTCGCGGCTGCTGTTGAATTAGTAATGCAAGGTCAGTGGGGTGTTTGCCTGCTCCAGAGAATGCTGGTAAAACTTGACACACTTGCGGTGCGGACAAGTCTGGGTGTTGTAAGAAACGCAGCAGCAATCCAAAGGTGCGGTCTCCTTGTTCAACCGGACGCTGTCAATTCTGCTCTGCAGCGCTCCTGCTCTGTCTCCTTCTTTCTCTCCCTCGCTCCTGCTCCCCCTCCCTCTCCCTGTCTCCTCCCCTCCCTGCCTCGCTCGCTCTTCCCCGAAAAGAAAATGTGGGCCTGCTGTCCATTATCTAAGGACTCATCAAACCTTTGTCCCGTTTATTGACCCAACCGGGACCATTACACTTTCGTCAGAGTATTGTTGACTATGGTAACAATATTAGAAGCATTGATTAAAGAAACAAAGCTTAACAGTGTGTACCCAGAAAGCAAAGCATAAACACAGAGGCATATGCAGAGCTTCTAGGCTGGAGGACGTAGCTCTGGGTTTACTGCCAAGCTGCAGGGCAGTTCTTCTTCTAATCCCCCTGACACTCATGCATGTTAATATTTTAGCACCTTTATCCACATAGACAGAAACAAAGCGGAAAACTCTGCCAACTATCCTGTTGCAAGAGTTTATTAATGAAATACTGTGTTGTTGATAAAAATGCCTTATAAATGAATTGCAAAACCACCAGTTACAGAGTTCTCCAGTGGTATTAGAAGAGGCAAGCAAAGTCAAAGTTCTGTATTGCTCAAAAGATTATACATTTTCACACTTTAGATTCTAAAAAAGCATTATGACTAGCTAAATGGTACAAGTGTATCCAGATTAGCATGCTAGAGTGTTCTCTGAGGTATTAGGATGATGGTTTGTTGGTTTTGAACAAAACGTCCCTAGATTTATTTTCCCATTTTATTGCTTATCTAAAAATCTTAAGGCTGAGTTCTTAGAATAAAAGCACCGCTCCTCAACAAGCCACATGGTTTATGGTATCATTTACATCGAAAGCAAAAACAGTGCAGGGCCTTCGCAGGATAATACTTTGTTTACAGTTTTGTTCAAATTCCTAACGTCAGTAGGAGCAAAAGTAATAAATGCTGGCTTTAGTAAGCACCAATAATAAAATTAAAAACCAAGAGTCATGTCCAAGTAGGATGCCCGCAGGAAACAGGAAATGAGGTCAGAGGCAGTGCCATGTGACCAAGGACAGAGGAAGGACTGGTCCTCTAGCTAGGCTTTGCACTTATATGGGCCAATGAACCCAGTTGGAACACAAAGGCCCCTTGCAGAGACACACACCACTTGAAATGGTGTTTACAGGTTTTAAGATACACTGATGTGAGAAGGGTGCTTTATTCAAGGCTTACAGCAGCTTTCCCATCCATTTTTGCAGGAGTTGCCAAACAGAAGTGAATGATTCAGCAAGCGCGACGGCCCCTCTGGTCTTGATTGCTGAAGTTTGGTTAATTCCAGAGTAAGGTCAATAAGCTGCCTCCATACAGAACAAGGTCACGCATCACCAAGGCAGAATCGTCAAGCATCTCAGCGTCCATGGATTTAACTCCCAAGTGTCCCCTCATCCTTCAGCGGCAACACTGGGATTTCTCATTCTCCATTTAAAGGGCCAGCCAACCTCATATTCTCGGTTCACTAATGTAACTCTTCTGGACTTGGCCTTCGTCTTTCTCTTGCCCATCAATAGGTTATTGAGTTGCATTGCTGGATTACTTGGTCAGGGGTCTCATTTCATAGGGGAGCCGATGCAAAGGTAGATCCTCATTTAAAACATACAATCCAGGAAGACACTTGATGGTCAGCTACAACTAGGAAGCCAAAGCTTTGAGTACAATGAGAAGTAAAAGAACAAAAACAAAACATTCTTTCTTCTCAATTAAAGACAATCCACTTGATTGTGACACGTCATATACTGTTTCCAGGTCCAAGTTTCTATTCTGTTTCAAGTGAGAGTGCCATCTCAACAGCCATTTATAAGCACAATTCATTTATAGTACACCTTTAAGCTAAGGTTTTGGGGTCATGATTTTTCAGTAGTATTTACAGAACACCATGAGTGAATCCTTGTACTGTTGGCTGTTTGCTTTTGGTACCTGAAGGAGCATTTGGACATGGAATGACAGCACATGAAGTTAGACTTATCCAGATAGATTTTTAAATTTTTTAAATGGCTCACTGGAATAGGCTACTTGACTCTGATTGCTCAGTCGCGACATTCCAAGGTGTGTTATAGGGCTGTCAAAATGGCTGAAAAACTAAATTCGAATTGTGTACTTAAATATTATCAATATTCAAATTTAAAAGGCATAATTTCATGTTTATAGACCATATATAATTAATTAAGATGCTTAAACAAAGAGAAATAAAACAGCATCATGTATGTATGTGTAGTTTAATATAAAGGACTGAAAACCGATCACAAAGAGTACTTTTTCATTTAAAAACATGAGACGCAGTGGGATGGGGAAGTCTCGAGACACGTTTTTTAAAAGTTGAACTTGCATTAATTTTACATGGCTTTCTAAACATGTGGCTCTCTTGTGCGAGACGTGCGTGCAGCGGTGATAGATGTCCCTCTAGTCTAGAAAATGCGATAAATATGCGTTCTGTGTGAACGGCTTGGTTTCAGTTTTGAGGTAAACAACACTTTTCCGCATTGATGTTCTCTTTTCCCACAATATTTTAAATGAACAACGTAGCAGCGCCGTGGGATCAACTGGATAAGCTAAGAAAAACATTCAAATGACATGTTGCATCGTTATCGCATCTTGTGCGCCACTGATAAGGCAGCCTGACGCACACCTAAAATTGTAATGCAACGTTTTTGCATTCAAATGTGGATTTTTATTTTAAATTCGACGAACATTCGAAATTCAAATAATTTTTTGACAGCCCTAGTGTGTTATTCCATGACAACAACTGTTGGCATCAGCAGCACTGGATAACTCACCGCTGTGCTCTCTCTCATTTAATTCAGATGCAACTGCTATCCTCTTTTGCCTTAGTTATTGACTCGATTTACTGTAAAATGAAATCAGAGGACTTTACTATTAATAGAAGGCATATGGTAATATTGTTAAAGTGTTCTCCATTAACAATATTACAACTCAGAACGACTGTTTTGTACACTGTAATAGATTTAGGATAATAAATAGGGACTGCGCCATTCCAAAAATGTTGATACTTACATTTTCTGTCAAATTGGGTATCGGTTAGATGGGACAATCCAAACCCGATATTGTGCATACTATTCTGTTACTGTTAAGCCGCACGAAAGGCACATTATAAAGCACAATACAGTTTTCGTGCACCTGTAGTTATAAGCTGAAAATTATTTTCATGTTTTTGTCGATATTAAATCTAAAAAACAAATTAACTAAAAAAAAAAAAACTAAAATACATTTTGGCATCTCTACATAATAATGTACAATGAGAATTTGATATTTATTTTGAGATTTTCTAAAGATCAGATTTGAAAAGTGTTATTTTTGATTGATTGATTTGTTTTAAACAAAAAAGATACCTGTGGCAGGGCACTCCTGGTCTTTGGAAAAGTCGATGCCGGCTCCAATTAGGGTCATGATCTTCTCAATCTGTAAGCAAAAAACAAACACAGTGAAACCAAATGAAGACATTAACCACAGTGCGGTGTGAAAAAAAAGCAGCTGCGATTTATGTTAAAACTTTGCATTCATGATTTCCCAGCAGAGCAGACGAAGCAGTAATGCAGCAACAAATCCGACTGAGAAAACACCATCTATCATACCAAGGTTATAAGAATCATGCATAATGCAAATAAGAATATTATTTTGTTGCACCAGCCCTGACCAATACAGTCACAGGTGAACTGAGTGTCAGTCAACTACCCAAGCTTAACCATGAAAGACAATCTAGAGTTCAAAAACCCAAGAAAGTAAACACCAAGACATACAGGTAAACTTGTAAACATGCAGGAGAACAAGAGAACAACATGTCCAGGATGTCATTTCATATATTCACCATCATCAATCACTAGTCCAACCAGTTAAATGTCAGACTACAAGACACTGTCTGAAAAGATATAAGGGTAAAAGTAGGAGTTCTGCCTTGCATCTGAATATATCAATGCAATTTAGCCAAGCAGGACATTTCTGAAAGTTAGCAAAGTCTAATGACTTGCAAGCAACTCTTGACTTGGAGTCAGCATTCATTGATCATGATGTCCACACCCTTCAGTGATTGACAGACTGCTGCGGTAACTGAAAGGACACTGATTACATAACATCAGCAGAGTCTGGTTTGTCATTTCAGTGTGGAAATTCATTAATTCAATCACAAAAAATGAATTCATAACATCAAAAACAGGCCGTATCCCAGTCACTGAGATTAAGAGCTGTCCTTAGCAGTTGATGAATCTACTGATGTGTGGAAGCAGCTCCTAATTCTTCAGTACAACAGTGGAGTTATGTAATATGGAGACAATGGAGGAGGTGACGAGGCATTTGAAAACGCCGCACAGAAATTATTTTAATTGGGGGATAATGCCTCTATGTGGCTGATATTAAACTGGCAGAAATTTGAAAAAATAATTAACTATGATTTAGTAAAAGAAAATTATTCATTTTAAGTGACAGCAAAGCTGCCGAGCAATAGCTTATCCAAAGTAGCGGGGCAAAAAGACAGCGGTAGACAGAAAAAGGAGAGAGTTTGAATCCTGCCACCACCGCCAAGAAAAGCTGGCTGAGAGAGAGCTGTGAGAAGACACTGACAAGGTTTCCAAACTTTTAAGTGAAAAAGTGAAAGTGACGTGACATGTGGTCAAGTATGGTGACCCATACTCGGAATTAGTGCTCCGCATTTATCCCATCCAAAGTGAACACACACACACCGTGAACACACACCCGGAGCAGTGGGCAGCCATTTTTTGCTGAGGAGCCCGGGGAGCAGTTGGAGGTTCGGTGCCTTGCTCAAGGGCACCTCAGTCGTGGTACTGAAGGTGGGAGAGAGCGCTGTACATTCACTCCCCCCACCTACAATCCCTGCCGGTACGAGACTCGAACCCGCAACCTTGGGTTACGAGTCCGACTCTCTAACCATTAGGCCATGACTTCCCTTTAGTGACAGATTTCACGAAAAATAAAATAAATAAATAAATAAACTTCACTCCCCCCACCTACAATCCCTGCCGGTACGAGACTCGAACCCGCAACCTTGGGTTACGAGTCCGACTCTCTACCCATTAGGCCATGACTTCCCTTTAGTGACAGATTTCACGAAAAATAAAATAAATAAATAAATAAACAAGTTTTCAGTGGAACACAAAAGAAGATATTTTGAAGAACATTCAAGCTGCTCTCTTCCATAACATGAAAGCACATGTGGGATGGTAAAGTTTTTCAGTGAGTGCCGACTTTAATTTTGGTCTGTTTTTCACACAAAACTCTATTACATGACCTCAGAAGACCGTATGGGCATTTATTTTTTACTTCTTTTTTTTTGGATGAAAAAGAACAGCATGAACATTCTGAAAATGATCTCCTTTTTCCTCACACAGAAGAAAAAGACATGCTGGTCTGGAACATCACAATCTTTTGAATTAGCTTTTATTTTCTATTTTCATTTTAATTTCAAGTTTTAGTATTATTTAAGTGCTTTTTAAATGTTATATTTCAATATAGCTTGCTTTATTTATTTATTGATTTAATTTTCTTTATTATTAGTTTCATTTACATTTTTTACAGCATTATTTAAAATTAACAAAAGTGATTTTTAATAGTTTTAGTTAAAGCGATAGTTCACCCAAGAAGTTGGAAGAATGTTGGTAACCAAACTGTTTTGGTTCCCATTGACTTCCATTGCATGGACAACAAATATAAAGGGTCAATGGGAACCAAAACTGTTATCGCCATTATTCAACATTTCTTCTACGTTCACAGAAGAAAGTCATACAGGTTTGAAAAGCCATGGTGGTGAGTACATGTCACTGTTGGTGAACTACCACTTTAACAACAATGGAATCTTATGAGTAATAAATGACAGATTTATTATTTTTTGTAAACCATTCTTTGCAAAACACGTAATCACAAGAACACCTCCATTTAACTTTGCTCTCAGTAATATCTGTGTAGAATGGTTGGTTCTGCAGAATCTGTAATAACCGGTGAGCAGCAGCACAAAGCAGAGGAACAGCAGAGGAACAGGAAGCCAGAGGGTCGTGTGGAGGGTCTTACTCTTTGGGGCGGCCGCTGTCTCCATGGAATAGAGAGGGAATGCCTCTGTCTCTGCAGGGAGAAAACCAACTTCTGTTCAATTGCTATTCTTTGCTTAAAGGGAGAACAAAATTTGACCCTTGACGATGGCACAATTGAGAAACCTTTAATACAGTTAATGGGAACTAAACATAAACGTGACCTCCAGGTTGGTTTGACACCTCACTGACCGTGTTTCCAGGAATAAATCCTTTGAAGACGCACAAACACTTGAATGGCTGTCAAAAAAAAAAAAAAATAGACTGGGAAAGAGGAAAGTGGGAACGCTTTGATCCCAGCCCTCTGGCTCCATCTACAACAGAAGAGTATTTTTGATTTAAGGATAAGCTGTGTGAAGTTTTTTCATTCCGGTCTCATCCAGAATCCATCAGAAGGCAGACGAGTCATCAGTTATGTCTGACATCTCTCTGTCCCACAGCACAGTTTTCTCACTTTCAATATACAGTGCATCTGCTAGAGCGCTCACCGCACATGAACGGGTATTCACTTCCTGTCTTTTACAAATTTTCACACCGTTATAGCTAGTGATCAAACGATACGAGTTTGTCAAAGATGGCTAAAATAATGCTAACCTAAATGATTTCACCTTGATTGATAGAGAGAAATTTACTGACTTAAAATATTATGTTAATTTGAACTATGAATGTGTTATTTATTGACACAGGGAATCTTATTTTTTCTATTTTTGTATTTTTCTGTCCTGAAAAATGCAACATTTTATGCAGTGGGTTTTAAATATGACACAGCGTGCTCAATCAAGCTATCTTTCTGGTAGCGGAAAACATCAAGCATATACGGAACAAGAAAGTGTAGAACCTGTGAATGATGACCGCAGATGCAGATTTCAATAAAACTGACTTTTACCCAGATTTCAGCAGCAAACCCCAACCCAAACTCCTCTTTGCCACAAATGCTTTGCCTCTTGTTTGAAAATGCAAAGTCTCTCATATTTATCTACATCAGTATTCTTCAATATAATCAGTGCGTCTGCTGACCTTATCACACAATTGGAAAATAAATTAAGATAAATAATGAGCTGATGTCTATGTCAGCTATTGATATATTTCACTGCAGATAAATGCTTAAGTATAATTAGCCAAGGCAAATGTTGCACGGACACTTACATAACTGGGTGAATCAAGAACATATCAAGGTCATATTTCACCCCAAAATTGAAAGAAAGACATACATCTGATTTTGCTTTTTTGGGATGATTAAGTTTTTGCATCATGACACTTACAACTAAGCACGTGAAATGTGCTCTTATTTGATGCCTGTACTGCATGTTGTTACTGTATGGATTTATTAATGAAGTGTCTCATTTCTGTTCCATAAGTCACATTATAAGCTGTGATTAAGAAAACAAAAAGAAGAAAACTAATATCATTACATGGAGCCATCTAGAGGCAATTCAACACCAATGACGGTCCAAATGTGATATGACGGCTTCCTAAAATCAGAAAAAATCTCCCGCTTAAGTGTAGCTTCAGAAAACAAACCTGAGCTTGCTTGAGCTTCCTCAAGCATCTCTGCCTGTCATTATCGGTGACTCTCTAAACAGAGCCGGAGATCTCCAGGGGACGACTCCACAGGCTGACAGGTTTAAACTTAGTCCAGATGAACTGTGCTGCATGCAAATAAGGCAAAGCGTGTTATAATCACGCGCGCATTATGCACGGCTCAATTAATGAACCAAACTGAGAAATATTGCGTGCAAAGGAAATAAATGAGTGAATAAATGCTAAATAATTAAATGTTTTCTGTATCAGCAAGAGAGCTTGCATCATACAGTATACTGCTTGTGTTTGCAAAACAGAACACACACACACACACACATCTAAAAATAACAAAATACTAGCTTTAAAAGGAATATAACAATAGAAGTGCACTGGTTGTAAAATGATACTTCTCTGGGTCAGTGAGAGTGAGAAAAAGTCAAAATCTGCTAGCTTGCATCATACAGTATACTGCTTGTGTTTGCAAAACAGAACACACACACACACACACACACACACACACACACATCTAAAAATAACAAAATACTAGCTTTAAAAGGAATATAACAATAGAAGTGCACTGGTTGTAAAATGATACTTCTCTGGGTCAGTGAGAGTGAGAAAAAGTCAAAATCTGCAAAATTCTGTGCAATAAGTTTTAATATGATAAAACATGCTCAATCAAGCTGAGCAGTACCTTTCTGGTAGCAGATTATTCAATTAGGCAAAATATTAAATAAACATGCAAATAACAAGTGTAGATCTTGTGAACGATGGCTGCAAACTGCACACTGAAAAATACGACGATACGACGACGTAATTATTAAAAAATAAATAAAATGCGCCATTGTTCGATTTACAATAGGAAAATAACCAGCCAACACATTCATAAAGAGGGCATTCTCTCTCTACGACTTTAAAGTTTTGTTGACAGTTATTTCCTTTTTGCTGTGAATATTTCATACTTCACATATAATTATGTGTAGCAGGGACCAATGAGATTTCCCTGTGGGCGGAGCTACTGAGTGCAATGTGACAAACAGAACACAAAAATGCGACAGGCTCAGAATTATGTAAATCATGTCATACTGCGCCTGGTTAAAACAATAATTATGATGCATTAATAGAAACGTGACTATTTACTATAAGGAGAGTTTGTTTGTAAAGCTGCCTGTAGCCGTCAATAGTGCAGTTCAGAGAACCAGAGCTGACAGACACTAGTTGAGGGGTATTAGTTTAGTGACGTGCTAAGCGGCCTATGAAATGTTCTGTTTGCTCTTCAGTCTGACACATTAGATGCGACTCATTGGCATGCATGAAGAATATGAAAGCTCACGTGGTTATCCTATAAAATAACTCCATCCCATGACCCACATCAAACCCACAAGGAGTAGTAGAAAATACATAATTGAATACACAACACAGATTTTTTGCTCAGCATCTGAGCAGACGGTGTTTAAACACACACACACAACCTTGAGTTGCAGGCCACTCTCAACCAATATGAAAATTGTACTGAAAACACAGATTCCCATGAGCAGACCAGCAGGCAGCATTAATGCACCTCAGTAAAGAAGATACCTTTACTGAGAACCAAACCTGCGAGTCCAGCCGGTGATCCCCACGGGTTCAAAACACACACACATACGCAACACACACACTCACAACTAAACAATGTTATTGATTCTCAGGGCCTGTAGTTAGTTTCTTGAGATAATGCAGAGAGCGATTCATTGTGAAGGGCCTCTTCATGGTAAACAGCTCAAACAATAGCAGAGTCAAAGGCCGCGGTGGAGTCACAGGTCGACAGCTGAAGTATAGCCGAGCCGTGGGGAGCATACGGGGAGGACTGTGTGTTTGTGGCCCTCTTCAGAATAGATAACCGCTGTGCCACTACAAAGACTCCAGGCATCTGGCAAGGCTGGCATGGGCGAACAAAAGGGCAAAAGTACTAAGACCGAGTGGCAAGCACCATTCACAAAAGAGCCAAGCTGCCATCCATTCAACAAGTCCAGCCTCCTGCCAAGACAGGTGCCAGTCGATCCAGAGCCGTGCAGAAGAGCCTTTCTCTGTAAACAATGTTACATCATAAACACTGGCAAAAAGTGTTCTGGCACGACAAAGCGGAAATCTTGTTTACGGAAGGCTGTTTCATGTGCTAATCGCTTAAATTCACCTAATTGGTCAGTTTAGGGCAATTAAAATTGTGGCAAGCAATGGTAAATCTTACAAAAGTTGTATTCTGAACTGTTGAAACTTTCAAAAGTTTAGAGAAATATATTAAAAGCAAACACTAGAAAAAAAAGTTTCCAGGCACAACGAATGAAAATATATTTCTTTGAAGCATGCAACATTTGTTTTATAATTTGCAGCAAGTTTAGAAATGCACATTTAAATCTCAGAAAACACTGGTGTAAAAGTGCTCGGTCAAAACAAACGGAAACCCTAAATCTTCAAAGTATGTGACAAACTCATAAGTTTCAAAGCCGTAGGCAAAAACATTGTCAAAACAAACAGAAAATCTAATTTACACAAATCAATTTTGTATGCTAATTGATTAAGCATGTGAAATTGGTCACTGAAAAAGTGTTTTGTCCTTATTTACAAAGCTATTTGTGCATGCTAATCGTCAAAATATGCATTTGTCTCACAAATTGTATAACGTTTAAGGATAATATATATATATATATAAACATTGGGGAAGAAATGGCACAACAAACGGAAAATCAAATTTACACAAATCTATTTTTATACTAATTAAGTCATAGTAAAAGTCTGGGGATTTAAATTATGACAGACAAAACAGACAAAAAAACTGTTCATGCACAACAACAACAAAAAAATCAATCTGTTTTGTTTGGTAATCATGTTTAAATATGCTCTTACAGTCTGTAAAAGGTTTACAGAAATAAATCAAATGACCAAACAATGTTTTGTCAGAAAGAAGCATTAATTAATAAAAGTGTATTTTGCACGCTAATTGCAGAAATGTGTGACATTGGTGTTAGTCTTAAAAATGTTCAGGGAAAATCGAAATGATAGCAAACAGTGACAAAAAAACAATAACAACAAACAATTATTCTGCAACAACAAACATTATAAAAAAAATAAAATAAAAAAAACGAATCACTATCATGCAATTTTAATGTAAAATTAAAATAAATAAATCAATATTTAGAAAATAAGTCACAAAAAAATGACGAGATTTTAAAAATTAGTGTCAACTTTTGAGTAAACTCTCCCAGTAAAAACTAATTCACCAAAACAACTGCTGGAATCATTCTTTCTAAGTTTTCTAATACATCCATCTCTCCAGAGCCGAATATATTCTTGGATCTCACCACTGAGAATTTGTGGACGTCAATCCCATGTACATGACAACTGTTTTAAAAAAACAACGTCGTCATGCATCTAAAGCAGCTGACAGGTAGAAAACAATCGCACTCACAAACGCTGGTCGGGTGGCAGCCATTGGGCCGGAACGGGACGCCGGAGGGACGAATGCATAGAAGGAGA